GCTACATCTAGACTACCTTTGGCTTCCAAAAGAAGATATGCAAATTAGGCACGAATTTGCATATCTTCTTCTGATCCCTTTTTTGGAAGTTTAAAAAAAAAAAAAAGCAGTCTAGATGGGGGTTTTCACGCAAACCCCCCCCTTTTTCAAAAGAACCCTTCTTCCTGAAAAAATGAGGTTTACAAGGTTCTTTCGAAAAAGGGGGGGGTTTGTGTGAAAACCCCATCTAGACTTTTTTTCTCTCTTCCAAAAAAGGGATTGGAAGAAGATATGCAAATCTGTGCCTAATTTGCATAACTTCTTTCGGAAGCCACAGGTAGTCCAGACGTAGCCCCAAGCACCACAGCAACTCTTCCCACAGCCTCCCCAATAGGGGCCTCTGGCTTGCTGCCCTGTCCCTTCCCCCCCACATTCCCTTCCTTCCCCCCTTCCCTGACCTCTCAATAAAAACACCTATCTGATTTGTTACAAAACGAGTCTGTATTTATATTACATTAAAAAAAGGTGTGCAGGGGGAGAGGGGCTCATAACCTGGCGGGAGAAGGGGGCAGCTAGATGTGCCACTTCGGGTGCAGGGATCTCGTTGGAGTAGGGGTCGGGTGGATCCAGGGATGACAGGGAGCGGGGGCTGGAGCAGGGTCAGTGTTGGCAATGGAGGCAGGAGGAGGGGGCATGGGCATCATGTGAGGGGCAGGCAGAGGGGGAATGGGCATAGCAGGGGGGCAGGAGGGTGGAAGCCAGGAGCAGCAGCAGCAGGCGGGTGTGCCATCATGCATAACACGATGGCACACGTCACACCGCTGCATGAGCTGGTCCCTTGCGCAGTTCTGCCACTCAGCGTTGTCACGTATCTTCTGCACCAGGGTCTGCTGTATGTTGCACAGGATGCTGACATGCTAGTGCATGAGGTCTTCCTGGACCCTGGTGCACTTTTGGGTCCCCCGGGCTCTGGCAGCTGGCTGTGGTGGGGTAGCTCACCCCTCAGCCCCGGCTGGTCCAGCAGTGGAGAACACAAAGGGGGAGAGGCGGTCCGTCATCCATGCAGACACTGTCCCTGAGGTCATGCCCTCCTTTGTGAGCAGAGACCAACAGTCCTCAGGCCAGAGGAGGGGGATGTCCTGGGAGCAAGGCCATGTGTGAAAATAATTGGCATAGTGTCATTGCACAAGACGGTTTTTCTTGCGCATGAAGGGGCAGTGTAGACAGCTCCTTCTGGTGCAAGAGCCTCTTCTGCAAAAATGGCGGCTCATTAGGTATGCAAGTGAAGCTCAGAGATATTCCACGCTTAGCCTCATTTGCATATTTCTCATGCAAGAAGCTGCAAGTGTAGACATAGCCTAGGAGAGCTGGTTAAGAGCAAAAGAAGAAGCTCATTATACCCCATTCAAAGTAACACCTTCATGGGCCAGCACAGCTGAAAGTACCAGTCACAAACTAACCCTAAAGCATTTCATATTATTAGTAAAGAAAAAAGATGTAGGAATACTTTTTTTTAGAAAACATGGTGCAGTCTGAGAAACAGAACCACATTAAAATAGAGAATAGCGCTTATTTGTGTTAAAATATTACCTGTTTTTATGCACTTGAGGCCCAATCTAGTGGGAAGCACCATTGTATGTATAGGGCACTGGCCTAGGGGACCTGGGTTCTAGTCCCAGGTTTGCTATTTGCCAGCCCTGACTTTTGGGCAAGTCACCACTACAATACTACAGTCTATTGCAATACAAATGATACATAATATTAATAACAACATATTAAGATCCTCCTTGCAATGTTACTCAAACTCCTCATAAAATCTGTGGAAATTTGCCTGTGGTTTGAATATGCAAAGAACACAAGCTCTGCCCTCCAAACAATTAAGAGTCAGTCTCAAATGAGAATAAAGGAAATTGACCAATCCCCAGTGAATTTCCTTATGAAAGGGACATTCCAAAAACTAAATGTTAAAAATCAGTTTTATCAAGCCTATAATTAATAGAATTGTTTTCACAGTGGCTTCAAATTTAAGTGACATTTTTGTTTGCATGTAAAAATCTTCCCCAACAATTTGCATTCTAAATATTGTTCATTGTGGTGCAGGAGAACCAAAACCTGATCTGGAAGCTAAAAATAGCTAGAAACAAACAATGAAAAGGACTTTTATTTTCACTAACCAATTTATTTATCAATAAATTGGTAAAATTAAATAACAGTGAACAAAAGGCAAAACACCAACCAGAAAGGGTAAGGGATCTTTGAGAGAGTCTTTTGTTTGTAATAATCTGAACACAGTAATGCTTAATTCGTAATCAAAGATGTGCCGGGGCTCAAGCAATTCATTGCCGGGACTATGAATCGCCAAACCTGGGAGGAGGTCTCAGCCCTAGCACCCGAACACGGCCATGGGTAACATAAGGAAGGACGCTTTTTTAAATAGGAAATTTTCAGTCTGTCCCCTTATGATGTTGCCTATACACACTCCAGAACAGCGAGTAACGGTACCTAGGGGCACTCCCAGCAATGGCGTGTGTTAGCCTGCTCAGGAAGCGTGCTCCACTGAAAAGCAAACACCAACTTTGCCCGGCCCGTTTTGTACGGGAACGAGACCTGACTCGGAGCTGGGATCCCATCTCCAGCTCTCACCCCCGGGCTGATGCTACCTTCTCCTCCAACCCGCAGCGCGAGCCCTTTAAATCGCAGCCGGTGCCGGAAGGGCTCGGGAACGCCAGCTGCAGGCTATATACTCTGGCTGGAGCAGCGGGAGCTCGACTGTGCCTCTCAGCGGGGGCAGGAAAAGGCAGCGGGCGGGCGCTGGGAGACCATGGCTCCTTGAGGCGCCGGCTTGGTTGTGCGGGGGCTGGGTTTGGAGGTGACCTGCAAAGGGGCGTTGCCTTCCTGCCTTGCGTGTAGCAGGGGCCTGAAGGTGCCTCCCCAGCCTGAGGTGGCCCCGAGGATCGTGCCCGCAGGGACGCTGCCATGGCCGCGGCGGTGTCCTCCACTCCCGCAGGCAGCGGGCGAGCTCTGCGCCGCTCGGCCGCCCTGTCCCCGCTCAGCCCGACCCGGCTCAGCCGGCTGCAGGAGAAGGAGGAGCTGCAGCAGCTCAATGACCGCCTGGCCGCCTACATCGACCGGGTGCGGGCCCTGGAGGCCGATAAATCCGCGCTGCAGCTGCGGCTGGCGGAGCAGGAGGAAGGGAGCAGCCGGGAGCTGGGCAACTTGCGGCTCCGCTATGAGACCGAGCTGGCCGATGCTCGCAAGGCGCTGGACGGCATCGCTATCGAGCGGGCCACGCTGCAGGTGGAGCTGGGCAAGCTCAGCGAGGAGCACCGGCAGCTGCACGCCAGGTCGGTGGCCCCTCCCTTCCCTCTGCGCCAGCCGGGCGGCGAGAAGCTGTTTTCAAGGCCTGTCACATGGCAGGGGGGGTATCCTTTGGCTCCAGCGGCTACTAATACCGCTCCCCCCCCCCCCCCCGCTTATGTCTCCTTGGCCCTCTTCCGCGGCAGGCGTCCTGCCTCCCCTCTGGGAGCTCAGTGGCCCTTCCCAGCTCCTGCGAGTACCTCAAAGTGGGCCTGGGGCAGGTGCTTAGCACTAGGGATAAACAAATCTAGTGCACGTCCTAGGACTAATACAGAAACACACGGATTTGTGCACCTGTGAACAAATGACAGGCCTCAACCAGGTTATGAAGGAGCTGGGCCTTATGGGGCCCATGGGGTGAGAGGAGGGGGTGGATGCCCTCCAAAACTGACTCCTGTCCACAGCTGCTTGTTAGGTTAAGAATCCTACCCCAAGTATCACTAACATTCCTACCTGACATGCATCTGACGAAGTGGATCTCTTATTGGCGCATAAGCTTTTGTGGGCAATCTGTTAGCCTATAAGGTGCCACAGGACTCCTGGTCGCTTTTGCAGATGCAGACTAACATAGCTACCCCTCTGATACTTGATTCCTACCTGTATTACTAGCAGGTCTGTGCAGTGTTCCTATTTCAAACCTGTACCAATAGATTCTTGCCCTCTCTTGGAATGAAGTTTCTGGTGTTCCAGGGCTGGAGCAAATACTTGCTTTACTTTCCTACTTCCAGCTGCTTAAAACTCTTGGGCTTGTCTTGCATACTTGGTTTTGGTTCAGAAGTTTAAGCTTCCTAAAAACATATCTCTCATTTTGTGACTGCAGAGCAAGAAGAGGCTTGGTGCCAGTTATTAAAATTTTCAACTACTTCTAGTGTTTAACTCCACAGGCTTTGTTTATAGAACGTAGACTTGGCTGATTTGTAATCCTGTGAATTGATGTGGTGTGTGGTTTTTTTGGCCTTTCTTAAGCAGCTAGTCTTTAGAAATAACTACCATTTTCAGGAGGCTGTAAAATTAAAGTGCTTTATGTATGCTGTACATACAGCAAAATATGTACTAGATGCAATATTTAGAGATACTTGTTTCTGTGCTGGCTAACTGCAGTTATCCCAGACTTGAAACGCCCTTATCTTCTTGGATGTCATGAATTTGCTATATGCTTTAAATAGTTTAGAACTCTTATGGGGTGAACAGTATCCCACACTCTCTTCCTGGAAGCAATAACTATTACTTGTTCAACTTGTTTTACTAAAGTGTGTTTTGTATAACTCTTAAAGCATAAGGAAGGGAGATGGAAGTGCATACTATAATGAATAGTGGTAACTAAAAAAGCTAGGTGCAGGATATGTGACAAGACTGACTGGCTAGTTGCAGGATGTCTACCCTACACAGCTTTTAGGGACATGGCTGTGTTGACAAGTCTTGTAACTAAATGTCCAAGAGTGTAAACACTGCTCACGCTTTTGCCAACAAAAACCTTCCAACCCCTACAAGAGCAGATTGGGGGGGTGAGGTGATTAAGGACCTTTGAAGCTTTACACTGTTTATGGCTCAACTGCCAAAGCCATAGTCATGCCAGCTCACTCATCATCTCATCACATTTGCAGAAGGTTCAGAACAGGAGGGCAAAGAAAGGTTCTTGGTCTAGCTGGTTTTAGAGCAGTGATAGGCAGCCAAGGCTAGCAAGTAGGCTTTATGAATGGCTCTCCTTTGTTTCAGTGGGTCACAAGATTGAAATTGGTCATGTGCACTAACCATAGTCCTGTGAAGGGTGCAAGTGCCCCCTCCTATGGTCCACCAAGTAAGCATGAGGCTGGAGTGGCTCATTGCCACAGTCTCCCTTCTCCCCCACCCCTCATGCTACAGTCAGCTGGGGGAAGGCTGGGTCTGATTTCCCTACCCCCTCCCTCAGGAGTGAGGCTAGGGGCGGGGGCTGAGCTGCAGGGGGGGGGCAGCCATCAGCTCCTCCCACAGCTCACCCTCCTCCCCCCAAAAAAATTCCTGCACATGGGCCCAGACCTTAAGGATAAGATTAAACCATTTCTACTTGTTCTGAAATATCCAGCATGTCATGTATTAATGTATTTGATCATTCATCTATTAATGAACTGTCATCAACTTCAAAGAATTTTTAAAGTTTACACTTACTTTACAAGAGAATCCCTCATCCCCCACATCCTCTCCCAAGCTCATCCCATACCTGTTCTTCTCCTTTCCCTTCTCAGAACTTGAATGCCACGAATCACCTGACTCATGGTGTTCTGGGAGGGAGGAGTAAATAAGTGCAGGGCCCCAGTGTGCGCGAGACATGGGGGAAGGCAGGAAAGAGAAGGTGCATGACCTGCAAATGCAACCCCAATGGGCAGATTGCAGGTTGCCCACCACTGTTTTCAGAGAAATCATTCTGAAATCATGGTTCCACCTCAAATGTGTTGTAAAATGTGGCTTCAAAAGCTAATCGATGGTTTTTGGATGTTCTCAGATCTGAAGAACATTGCACTTACCTATGTTTTTAACTTTAAGAAAGAGGCTCTGACAATACTGATTTAAGCTCTTCTAGTCAACATGAGCAATTCGTTGGTTTGAGGACAATAGGAAGAATAAAAATAATTCTGCACTGTAGTATTAGTGGGACTGGCTTAGTGGTTGACTAATTACGAAATGGCTTATGCTGGTCTAAAAGTTAGCATAAACACATTTAACAAATGTGTTAAGGAGTAATGTTTAATTTGGTTTTAAAGGGGATTATATAGACTTTTAGATAGGTGGAGATAGCATAGGTCCAGAAAGGGAAATGGTCTCAAATCCACAAAACACAAATTCCACACTGAGAACAGATGACGTACAACATCTGTCCTCTTGCTTGTAACTAGACAAACAGTAAATAAGTATCTGATTTATGTAGTAGCTGTTATCTGGGGAACCAATGATTGTCATCTCTCTTTTGTATTAAGAGCAATAATGCACAACTAAACTGTACTGTGGCATGGGAGAGAGGACAAATTCAGTGACCAACTGGGAAAACTGGTGTATTAATTACAAATCACTCACTCACAGATTGCTATCTCAACACAATAAAATAAGGGATATGTTCCTTGTACACTCAAACTTGAGCAGAGGACTGTGTGATAATCAGGAACATCACTTTCTAGTGTCAGATCCATGTCAGTAGTAGGGATGTTAACAACTAGTCGACTGGCTATCCGATAAGCATTTGCTTTATGGTCTAGTCGGTTAGTTGATTTCCCCCTCCCTCTTGCTGCCTCTATCAGGTGGCATTCAAAGGGGTCAGCGGTCCCCTGTTGACCCTGGACTCCATGCTGCGCTGCCACTTTGAAATGCACAAGAGCCACCACTGGGGACTCTTGTACATTTCAAAGTTTGCATGCTGCGTGCAGCCCAGAGTCAGCGGGACTGCCTGCTGGCCCCAGGCTGCATGTGGAGTTCTGCATTCCTCCTTTGAAATGTACATCGACTAGTTGATGGAAATTCCATCAGCTACTCGATTAGTCAATTAACCATTATGTCACATCCTTATCTGTAGCTGTTTGAGGCCAGAAACATTATAGTGCCTCTGAATGAGTTCTGTGCTCTGCGTGAGTCTTCCTTCGTGCTTGGTCAAAAGCAGAAATGGCTATTGTTTGGGAAAAGTGGGCATGCCATACCTTCTAATACGTATTTTCCTGGCTTTCACCAAGCTGCCCATTGTGTCCTGATTTCTTCCCCCATCCCCACACAATCACCTTACCAGAATCCCTTCCTGGATGCCAGGTCAAGTTTCCCTTGGAATAAAGTGGATGAGCCTGGCAGCCCATCTAGTCCTGAGGCAGAGGTCTTCTGGTCATCCAGGGCCCTTCTCCTGACTCATGTTTTCCCTCCCCCTCCATGTAACTGCACTATGTTGATCCCCATGCTCCCGGAGGCCTGTGACTTAGCTTATTTGCCAGTGAGCATGCTCAAGGGATTATCTGTACAGTTGTACCCTAACCTCAGCAGAGCCAGGAAGGTGGCCTCTTGGGGCCAAAATTTCTCCCTCTCACAGAAAGTTCCATTACAGGTTGCTGGCTTTTGGATTAGCAGATAGTTCCAGAAACGTTTCCTGGACACCTAGTGCTGTTTTACCAGGGGTCTGGCTAAAGTTTGAGGCAACATATCCGTAATGTTAGTGTCCGGTTAATCCTATCAGACTGCCAGAGCCAAGTAAAGTAAAGCATGTGCTGGTGCAACACAACTGAGAAACTGAACTGCTAAACTAACTGAGATTCCCCTGCTGTCCTAGCGCTGTAAATTTGACTTGAAACTTAACAGACATGTGCTAGCCAGAGATGTAAGCCACCTAGCCCAGGGGAAGGTGTGAAAGAAAAGATTTTGAGGGTCCTACTTGAAGGTCAAAGGGGCAATGCCCACTCATTGGTGAGAAAAGAACCTTGTCATGGGACTCAAGGATTTTGCCCTCTCTGGTTAGCCAATGCCAAACTTTAAAGATTGCTTTTCTAGCAACTTGAAAGACTAGCTTTCTCACCTTCCTCATAATGACTACTGAAAGAATTTCTGGCTGATATCTGTTCAGAAAACACTCAAAGGGAGATATGGAAATCTGTGACTACTACTAGATGGGTGGGAGGGTATCAAATGGGACTGGAAGATCATGTACAGAATGAGCTGGTAAGTCTAGCATCTAATGGAATAATACAGCTGTTAATGTATGGTGGGATGGGGGGGTTGGCGGTTTTTTGGTCTAGTTTACTCTTGTGGGGATGAAGGATGGTGAATTATACTCCTATATTACTCTTTTTTCTTTTTTCTAAATAGAAAAGAAATGGCAAGTTTTTCTCTTCACCTGCTATACATTTTTATGAATGTAAAACTTTCACTTTCAGGAACACTAAAAAAGAAGCTGACTTGAACCTGGCACAGGCTCGTGTAAGAGACCTTGATGCTCAGCTGAACTCCAAGGAAGCTGACTTAGCAACAGCTTTGAGTGGAAAAAGAAGTTTGGAGGGTGACCTTCAAGAGTTAAAGGATCAAATAGTCACTGTAAGATTGCATAGAATCTACGTTGTTTCATGGATGTCGATACTGAAGTTCAGTCACAATGACTTCCCTCACTGGAGTCCTTTGGTTCTGTTGCTGTTTTGATATTATTTTTCCCCAAAAAGTCTGTAAAGGTTTAAACATTCATGAAGTCTCTATTACTTAATAGGTAAGGATTGGGAGAGAAGGACTTGTGGAATTTTGATGAAAGCACATGGATCAAAACACATTCAGAACCACATTACAAGTCTTGTAATTCTGCTTCATAACACACATGCTAGAATGGCCTCTGTGGGTATCTAGTTTGACTTGATAAAAATGAATGACACTCTTCAGACTCCTCTAAATGGACAAGACCAAACTTTCTGGTTACATGCTAGTGTCAAGCCTGTGTTACATACCCTGAAATGGCAGATATTTGGGAGGGAAAATTCATGTCTTCCTCTTTACCTAGATCGAAGGATCTGAGTGCTTTACCCAAACTTTAAGGGAAACCTTTGATCCATTTGATTTAAAGCATGTTTTTGTTTTGTTACATGTCCCTCTTCCTGTAAAGATTGCCTGAAATGTACATTTCAGATTTAGGATTCTATTAGTTCAATTTTGAGTTCTTCAGGGGTTGGAGGAGATGACTACTATACTGCAGTTTGGGGTTTGTTAGATATGAGCAGGGCCATCAACAGAGTAGGCGGCAGTTGCCATGAGGACCAGTGATCTAAAAGGGCACAGGGCTCCAGGCTGCTATTGTCGCAGCAGAGGCAACAAGGGCCCCGGGTCCTTAAAATCACCACCAGAGCCTGGGCAGCACTGGGGGCTGGCTGCTTTTCCCAGCACACAGTAAAGTCTGTCACCAGCCCTGGATAAGAGATTAAGTGTCTTTCACTAGAAAGATTTAAAATACTACCATGAAATGTAGACGTGGTGGCCCAGTGTAAGACTTCTACTTGCAGAATGTAGCTGAATTTTAGGTAAGAGACTTAATAACAATAAATGCAAACAATCTATTTGGTTTCAGGCCTTTGAATTTTCATAGTTGTCTTAAATTAAGAGGCTTGGATCACTTAGTGTTACTGGGGCAAATAACTACTGTGTTGCTTGTCTGGGGTAGGGTTAGGAAACAATAGTTCTACAACTCTAGCTGGTCAGTGATTAATGAGGCTTCTGTATATGTGACTGTTCAATAGCCTTGTTCATGCTAGAGATCTGATCTCTTCTGAAGTAGAAAGTTGCCCTGTTCCATTAAGCTTTTCAGGGCAAAATTGGGAGTGTCTTCTGTGTGAAGAGCACCACAGATATTCTGAATCTGTTGATGTATAGTGATCTAAATCAGATTTCTTTCCTTAAAGCTGTTGGCTGTAGGAATAACTGAAACCTAATGTACTGTATAGGGATGTTAAATTTCGATTAATCAGCTAACCAAGTAGTCAATGAAATTTCCATTGACTAATCAATTGGTTGATAAGGGGTGGAGCAGGGCACTTGCTATCCCAGCTGCACCTCTGCCTTTTAAATGTAGTAAGAACTGCCCACAGCGCTTACTACATTTAAAAGGCAGAGGTGGCGCAGCAGGGAACCCGGGGTGAGTGGGGATTTCTTGAGTCCCCACTCACTCCAGGTTCCTGCTGCGCTGCTTCCACCTTTGAAATGTAACAAGAACCGCATGGGGCCATTTTCTGCTGCACCACTGCCTCACCTGCCACCTTCCTCTCCCATGGAGACTGCTTTCAGAGGCAGCAAGTCGGGGCGGGGGAGAGGCAAGGAGGAGGGGGGAGAGACTAGTCTACTTGACTACCCGATAAGCCTATACTTATTCGGTAGTTGACTAGTCACTTACATCCCTAGTACTGTAACTTTTGCTATTAACGTAAAACTCACTTTTCTCACACTGACCTACCACGCAACTTTTTTCCTTTCCTAGCTTAAGTTGGCATTGGAAGATACCAAAAAGCATCTCCATAGTGAAATGTTGAAGAGAGTGGACCTGGAAAACCAAATGAAAACTCTGCAAGAACAAATGACATTCCAGAAACGCCTGCATGAAGATGTATGTCCAAGTTAATTTTAGCAAGGATTTCCTGGATGCCAATTGCCATTGATTTTTGTAAGGTTATCCAGGGGCTATATGAAAATGCATTTGATTCCTAAAAAGGTAACTAGCTGAATCTTATGACCCTCTGCCAGCCAACAAAAGCCACCTCGGTGGGTAAACTCCAGGGATGTACACACATTCAGGTATCATCAATGTCTCCTAATATGTTTGAGCATGTCTCTGTCCTTTCTCCTCAGAATCGGCAGAGTTATTTTATCATGCCAGTGTAAATCAGACTGAGAAGGTTTAGGTAGTTCTCCTAATACATGTGGGAGAGGTGTATGCTTATTTTTTTAATCCGTGTCCTGCTGGAGTATGAAGCTTGTTTACTTTAGGCTTTCTGCAAAATCCTGGAAACCTTTACAATTTTAGCTCTCTCATTCAGCTTACACCTGCTAAAATAACTACAGTCCTAATATTGCTTGTATGTCTAATGTAAAAAACAAAGCCATTAACTTCATAGCTTCACAGAAACAAGAATGTATGTTCCCTATTTCCTTTTGTATCTTTTTTCTATATAATCAGGTTCTGTATACTACAGAATTAACTATGTTTAGTCTCACTTCAGATTCAGAATGGAGCTTCTTAGGATGAAATTTTCAAAAATGTTTAAGTGCTAAAATCTCTCAATTTCAAATTAAGACCCTTCATTTTAAAAAAAAAACCCCTCTGATCTTTTCTAGCTAGATGGGTAACTAAGATTATGCTGTCAACGCACTTTTTGACAGGCAGGAAAAGGCTTTCACCTAATGAGAAGCCCATAGCTTGGAGATCTTTACAAGAATGGAAAGCAATAATTTACTATGGGGAGAAAATAACCCAGCATGGTCAGATGAACTTGATGACTTAATGGGCCTTTTTGTGTGTCAATCTCTTGTGATTCAGAAACAGATGACCAAGTACTTGATCATAAACATCTGCTTTTAAACTGAGTGACTGACTTGCTACATGGGTTGATTGTTAATTGGGATTATGTAACTGCTTTAACTGAAATGGTTTCACTTGATCTTTAAGCAATATACTTACTCCTCCTCCTCCTCCTAGGAGCTCAAGGAAACCAAAAGATTCCATGAGAGCAGGATAGCAGAAATAGAATCTGGCCGTCAGAGGGAATTTGAGAGCAAACTTTCAGATGTTTTGCAAGGACTCAGAAAGGAGCATGAAGACCAAATTCAAGAATACAAAGATGGCTTGGAGCGCACATTCAGTGCCAAAGTAAGTTCTTCAAAAGTAGCAAATACAATGGACTAGCTGTCATGTTTTTTGCATCTTCATATGACAGAAGCATTTGACACTTCCTTTAAACAAGCAGACTTACGTATTTAACATGGAGTTTGGTCCATCTGCTTTAAGTAGTAGTCTTATGAAACTGATGGCTTGTTCTGTAGTAGGAGCCCCTATCCTAATAATTGAATCTTTGTATAGTCTCTCTAAGATCTGCTAGTTCAGCTTATCTGCTGTGACTTAACTGTGGCCAGTAAAATTGGTTGAGATGCATAAATATGTACTATCTTCCATAACGGGAGTACTTAGGAATGTTTAAAGTTATAATTCATACCATCAACAAATTTCAATCTTGGCTCTAAAGTGCTTATTACAAATATCTAAACTTTCTACCAAAGTTAATGTGGTAGATTAATTTCTGCTCAGTTATTATATTTCCAATATGATCTTTGTTCCTAGGAAATATACTAGTAAAAATTTGAAACTGTGGACCAGATGCAACAAGACTGACTATTCCTCTAAAATTGGGAATGTGAACAATTAACCATGGGTGGTGCTTGCAGTAACCAGTTAACCAAACCTGGGAGCAGCCCCTTGCCTGTGGCCTACCACAATCAGAGGGCTGCTCCAGCCCTGCCAGACCCCTAACAGGGCAGGCCAGCAGCCCCCTGAGGCCAGGGGTCATGGCAGCGGGGCTGGAGCAGCCTCCTGCCTATGGGTTCGCACTTAATCAGTTAACCGGTTAAACTTAATGTACACGTTATAAAGACATTTAATGTAATCCACTGGTTTTGGTAGCTGATGTAATTGCAGCCTTCCTACCAGGTTAAAAGTACCTTGATACTAATGGTGTCACCCTCTCTCCCCACATTCCAGAAATGAGTTCAGTTACAATAACTTATGTCACTGAAATACGAGAGATTGGAATCTCGTCCCAAAAATGTATTAATGAAGACACTTCTAATATTAAAATCCTTTGTTCTAGTTGTGGAGAAACATGTGCTTGTACTTTTGGGTCAATACCTTGATCTGTTTTTGTCACTTTCTTCCTGTTTTTCTTGTCTTCAACTCTCTTACTTTAGCTTTACCATGTTTGTATTAACTCCTTTGCCTGTTTTTTGTTTTTTGTTTTGTTCTCTTCTCTCCCCCCCCCCCCCCCCCCCCCGGGGTCCTGCTCCTATTACTGCATTTTTCTCCAGCTTTTCCCTTCTCTTAAAGGAACAGCACCCCAAACATTTTGCTTGACCTGACTACTTTGATTCCTGAATACACTGTTAAACATGGCTACGCCCCCTTTGTTCACACAGCTCTGGTATCAGTACTGGTATTTAAACATTTGGAGGCTGACACTCAAAGGGGCATATCTGTAGTAGTATCCTATACTGTCCCAATGCAACTTCCTATCCCATTAGCCATGGTACAACTAGTGAACTTGAGTTTCTTCTCTAATGGCTTCATTTCTTTAACTTTTCTATAAGTCTGTGTAGTGGGAACAATTCACTAGTTTTAGGCAGTGTGGGAGAGCTGAATTTGGGTTATGTGATGTTGAATTTGTCTTGGCAAGTCAATATCCACTGAAAGCAACTTGAAAATGTTTTTATATAAAACTGTGTTCAGGTACTCTACATCTTTATACCTGGCTAAATATGTATCTGTAAATCACTTGATGCTTTTTACTAAAACAAAAGGTCACCAAAATCCTAATCAGATATTCCTAACAACTTTTTCTTCATAGATCGAGAATGCCCAGCTTTCTGCTGCCAAAAATAGTGACTTTGCCAATGCTGCTCGGGAGGAGCTGATGGAAACAAAGATGAGAGTTGACAGTCTGACATCCCAGCTTAACCATTATCAAAACCAGGTAGCGCTTCATACTTGAATGAGATTGTTGGGGTTTTTTCCTTAACGATACTAGCATATTCTACACATTATCTGCTTTCCCTTCCCTCCAATTGCTCTGAGTTCTTGCCATCTCTTATTGAAAGTGCTCACTGATAACTAGACCTCTTGATTAAATCTAAGAATTCTGCACTCGAGAACAGACTAAGAGAGTTACAGGAGACCCTGGATTATGACCGTGACCTGCATCGAAGACATATGGCTGAAAAAGATAAAGAAATGGCACAAACTCGGCGGCAGATGCAAGCACAGTTGGAAGAATATGAGCATCTATTAGATGTGAAACTAGCTCTAGATCTGGAAATAAATGCCTACAGAAAGATGCTGGAAGGAGAAGAACAGAGGTAGGATGCAATCTAGTGCTATACAGGAAGACTTTCTTCTAACATCATGGTATAAGTCTAGGTGCTGAATGGGAGGGAGAAACATATGCCGTTAATCATCTTCCAGTAGCCAACTGGTAACCACTCACACTATGGCCTTGGTATATAATAATGAAGAAGGCCTTTGTACTTCAGTCTATCCAATCTCTTCTAAATGATTAAAATGCATTAAAGATACACAACTTTTAATCAAATGTCAATAATAACATTATAAAGTGACAAAATGGCAGCTAAGGGATTCAAACTTTTCTATAAACCTTAAATAGTAATGTTAGCCTTCCAGTCCCTTCACTGTGTAACCACTTACCATAGCTTGCTTAGAGATCTTAAGTCTTGAAGAGCCCATAAGGAGAAGAGAAAATGCAATAACTGAGGGATGGTGGTGAGTTTCATAGCTTGTTCTGAATTTTTTTTTGTTCATTCAAAACTTGGAATGCTAAGCTTTCCAAACTGTTCACTGGGCGACTCCTTGCCGAAAGATAATACCACATTCCAGACTCCACTAAGCAGGCATGGGCAGAGGGGAAGCTACGCTAGGTCTGGGCATAGTGTGAGAGTTGGGGAAAGGGAGGAGAAATGATGATGTCCTCCTTCATAACTTACTTATCTAATATGACCACTTGGCTCTCTTTAGACTAAAACTGCCATCTAGTCCATCTTCCCAAAGTGTTGCAATCCAGGCAACAACCAGCCACGGGCGTCGCTTCCTGCATGGAAAAAAGAGAAAACTGAAAGAATCCCAAAAGGGAGAGCACAGTGTCAGCTTCAAGACTGTTCAGCATGTGTCTTGCTCAGGAAATGTGTCCATAGAAGAAATTGACACAGAAGGGAAATTTGTCAAGCTTAAAAACAACTTGGATGAGGTACTCCTTCCTTCCCTGCTGTCAGACAGGCTATCAGCCATTACAGAAACTCGGCCTCCCCCCCTCCCCCACATGAAACCAATATAGGCTCAGTAAACTAAGCAGTGCTCTTGACCCCAGCATCATAAGACCTAGCAGATTCAGCACTTTGCTTTTAACTACCCTCCTGGTTGTTCCCTCTTGATCCTCAAGAACCAGTTTAGTTGAATATGGAGACGGGTATATTCAAGAAATGTACACCTTTCATTGACTGTGTTTCCCACAAACTGTCCTGTGACTTCTCTAAAGTTGTAGGTTTTTCTGCATGCACAGACAGATCAGTCCAGCTTAATTAAGGACAAAAGCACTTCTGATTAGCTACATAAGGTGCCTAGTGTGCTGGATAATAACAATAGCTGTTTAGATCCCTTATAGCATCCAGTTTTTTGCTGTGGCAGTGTTCTTACTCCATAGCCCTAGACTGCGTAAAAGCTGTCCAACAGTCTACAAATGTCTAATTGCGTGGTGTTGTAGGAGGGTTCTATACACGCTGTGCTGGAAGACTAGCACAAGCCAGTCATGAGTGGTATCCCTGTGTTCAACTGGCATATTAAGAATATGCAAAATGCCCTACCAAATTAGGCCTCAGTGGTCCAAAACAAATTCTCCCAATCTTGGGCAGTTAGTGGTTAACTTTAGAATGACTACTTGTCCAGCCTTTGGCAACATTCACAGTTCTAAGTCACTCATACATTCTAAACTTGACTTGCTGAACCAGAACGAGAGGCTGCTATAAACAATCCCTGCTTCACTTGTGCTAGGAATGAGTTGGGTTGTGAGGGAATGGTTCAGAGCAGAATACCTAGGTGATGGCACTGGTCAGACAGGCCAGGAAACTCTCTCAACTTCTGACTCTATCATACTCACTCTAGAGAAGTCAGGTGGAATGGGCAGTACTTGTACGGCTGCTCTGCCTGTGGAAAACATGGGCACAAGACTCCCAACAAACTCGATAATATCTGTTTGCAAAGGAGCTGTAGGTCTTGGCACAATGTTCTTTCCTCCCCCTCTTCCCCCGAGATCTTGGCTCCTAAGGTACAATAATGCCAGTTGTCTTCCTTCTCTGGACAGACTTCCTATCTGCTTTAGGGTGGGGTGGACGGGAAATCATGTACAAAAACATGTATCTTAAAGAGGGGTAATACTTATAGATTTGAAGGGATGATTCTGCAAATAAGTGGCTTGATGGTATTATCCCAAAATTGCAGAGCCCAAGACACTTAGGGTACGTCTAGACTACATGCCTCTGTTGGCAGAGGCATGTAGATTAGGCTACCAGACACAGTAAAATGAAGCTGCGATTTAAATTGCCGCTTCATTTAAATTTACATGGCTGCCGCGCTGAGCCGAGACACAGCTGGAGAGCTCCTGTGCTTTTTCTGTCCACACATGCCTTTTTATGCAAGAGCCCTTGTGCAAAAAGGCTTATTCCTTGCTGAAAGAGGAATAACTTTTGTGAAAAAAGCCCTGTCTTCTGATGATCTACTGGACCTTTTCTTGCGCAAAAATGTGCTTGTAGTGTGGACGCTCTGAGTTTTTTGCGCACAAACTCTGCAATGTAGACCTAGCCTAACAGTCAGACAAAGGTAGCTTTTACTTTGAGAGGGGTTATAACTTGATGCTTAGTTCTTAAGATGGCATCTGAAGTATAGAAAAGTTCAGCAGTCCAAATGTGTAAACTCGTAACAGGCTTGCTTGACTTCAGTATATGAGGAATGATAGGTCTCATTTTGTTAACTCCAAACCACAACTCCAGGATTGGATAGAGGTTAGATTTCCAGACCAAGCATCTTAGTCTGAGCTCTGACCCTAGGTAGAGAACTTTAGAACTATTCAGAGTGGGTTGGAATCTCTTTGCCTTATTGATTGGGACTGTTAAGACCTGTCTTCTGAACTCATGAGTAACTTGAAACTGAAATGTACAATGATTCAGAGGATGGGCTCTTAAATGAGAGTCATGATTCCCAGGGCAAGGGAATGCATAAGTGTGAAGAGTCAGATCATAGTTCTGTTTCTAACTCAGAAAGGGAGTTCTTCTATGCATAAGGTTGAGAATTAAAAATTGGGCATTATAAAACCTCACAAATCAGTTGGCCTAACCCTAGCTGAGAACACTGACTGAAATGGTATAAAGAAGCCTAATAGTTGTGGCATCCTACAGTGCATGGTCATTTGTCATGGGAGAAGATAACCCAATCTGACTTGCTTAAAGTCTAATACTTACTACTTAAAAGCTTCAGAAGGGTAGCGAAGTTAGTCTGTAACAGGAAAAACTTCAACAACAAATAGTCTAGTAGCACCTTCTACATATTTTGTTAGTCTTTAAGTTATTTACGACTCAGTCACCGATCATCGTTGCAAGCAATTTTCTGGAGCTCTTATGGGATCAACCACTGCTACCAGACTCTTCGGTGCTAGCATAGTGCTAAACTAAATGTATACTTTCACAAATGACCTCCATCTTGAAAGGAACAGTACCTTTTAAAAACCAGAGTGTAGGAAATGTCAAGAAACCTATACTTACAAATGGTGATAGCATAATGGTGTAACCCCTGTAGGATGCTCCTCTAGTTTCAAGCTGGCAATGGTATCTTCCCTTTCCAATTGTAGGATCAGTCTCTAAACGGATGCGTACTAAGACGAAGACTTGGAAGTTTGTCTGAAATAATATACAGATTCCCTGCTCGGTTTGTCCTTCAGGGAGGCCAAGTAGTCACAGTAAGTATCTTAACTCTGCCTTGCCAAGCAAGTAATTCTATTTGACTTTAACAGTCATTTTATTATCCTCATGATAAGAAAACTATACTTGGTGCCTATGCTGGGAAACAATTTAGCAAGGCTGACCCATGACCAGATTGGTGAAACCTTAAGTGTAACATTAGGAATGAAGTGACTTAGTATTATTTTTAATAGTTGAGGCCCGATTCCCAACCCTGGAGGAATAACCTCACTTGCATTTGTTGAAGCGGGGCATATTCTGAGCCTAAGAGTTTGTTTCTTCATTTACAAGCTGGAAATGGACTAGGAGAACAGAAGTGGCATGTAACTTGCCTTATAACCTGTACAATTCTTCCTGTAACCTTCCCACACAACTAAGAGCAAGGGCTGTGATTGCTCTCAGACCAGAGTAGCAGTTGTCGAATTGCTCTATGGCCTGGAAAGGAGGCTTTTCAAGTCTTCTCCCTAGCCCCTTGCTCAAGGGCAGTTGAAGCAATGTAGGCCACTGGCTAGATAGTGAATTTGAACCTGAGCATTGCTCTGTTACATGGGTGGCTGGGCTTTTTTTGCCAAAAACAATTTAGTGCTAGTGGTTCAGCTGCTCTAGTGGTAGCAATGTTAAACCCATGCTGCCATCACCTTGGTAGGCTCAATGTTTGTTGGGTCTATTCTAAGCAAGTGTAATCCAGGTTTAAGCTCTGCAGCTTCTAAATCCTGCTCCGAACAGATCTAGTTGTCCAACGAAAAAACTATGCAGTTAGACTAGCATAGACAAGGCACTACTAAGCATGGAACATATTTTCTAGCTCTAGCTTAAGGACCCCAAAAGTTTGATGTCTCAATGGAGGGATGGGGAGGGAGGAATGGTTTGCCAGAAATAAGAACTCTCCATTCAGGCCACGTCCACACTAGGAAACTACTTCGAAATTATTAAATTCAGCTTAAGAACTCCCAATGTAAAGAATTTGAACTAGTGGGTTCACACTACAGAGAAGCCTTGAAATTAGAGGCAGGCTCCATGAATGTGTATACGCTACCTTGGACTTGGAGCCCCAGGGAACAGTGGGAGTAAATAGTTCGCAATAGGAGTACTAGAGAGTTAACACTATAGTTATTTCTAAACAACTATTTTGGAACTAGCCAATTAGGCCGTCATAAGACGGGATTTTCAGGTCTCTTCTCCACATCGGTCTTCTCTCCTGAGCCTCCAGTCTCTCGCTCCGTCTCTCTCTCTCTCCTCCTCCTCCTGACTCCCCCTCTCTCTCAGCTCTCCTCCGCCTTCTGCCTTTCTCTGCCTCCCTGCCTCTCCCTCACTCTCTGCTCTCCTCTGTTTCCATGGGAGATGCACGCTCGTCCAGGCCCTGCCCCCTGGCCATGTATGTCACCGCCCTGCTCCTCTTCGCCTCCCGCCATGGCGCTTGGCTGACTTCTGTGCTGCTCAGCCAGGCTGCCGCGGAGGCACAAGCGGCCATTTGGGCCCTGTGCTTCCCATGCAGCAGGTGTGCTGCATGGGGACCACGGTGCCCAAACAGCTGCTTGCGCCACTTGTTCCCCCATAGCGGCTGGGCTGAGCAGCGCAGAAGTCAGCTGAGAGCCACGGCATGAGGTGAAGGATGTGACTCAGGCAACAGCGCTGCCCAGAGGGAGCAGCCAGCATTTCAGCGTTAGTCAGACATTGGGCTACTATATATATGGTTAACATTACTCTTGATGAAAACCAGGAGCACAGAGTTCGAATCCTGAAGTCTGTTGTTTTGAAATAGTGGGTTTGGTAGTGTGGACACACTACTTTAAAATCTGAACTGGGAGGAGCATATTTTGAAATAAGGTCTTAGGGTAGATCACAGCTCAGAGGGTAGAGTCTCCCATTAGCAGCTTTTCCTGCTGCACTTCTTCCATGCTGCCACCCTAGTGGGCAGAGGTGTTCTGCCAACTTCAAGGCAATTAATGGAATCTGCACTAGTTTACCACTTAGATGCTCAACAGGCCTGAGTCTACACTAGACACACTTTTAGATAGAATACTACATGGGAGTTAGACACACTTACTGAATTTGGCTTTCAATGTTTAAATACTGATCTAACTGTTTAAAGTGACTTTAAAGCTCATGAGTTAAATGTCTCTCTCTCTCTCTCTCGAGATCTGGGGTGCTGATGCTGGTGTAAACCAAAGTCCTAGTGATCTAGTTTGGAAATCTCAGAAGTCTTGGGGAACTGGGGATAACATTAGTGTTACACTTATAAATGCTGATGGAGAGGTAAGTGAAGTAATAACCTGTTGCACCTCTTCCAGTCTCCAACTTGCTTAAGAACAAACTTATGCTTATTTTGGGGGGGGTGGCAACTTATTGTAGGAGACTGCTGAGCGGAAAATCATACGTGTACCCAGAGAAGAAAGTGGTGGTGAACGGGAAGATGAGTGTGACGAAGAAGAAATAACGGGGAGTGAAACGGAGTTGCGTCGTCGGGTAAGAATCTTTCTGAATTTAGAACATACTAGGAATAAGTTGCTTCTCTTTTGTAGTAAACAGTACTTAAAACATGCTCCCAAAATATTATCGATAGCCTACAATTCTTGCCATTTTTCTCCCTGATATGTTAGACCAAAAGAAGAAAAAAGAAATGTTGTTTGGTGTCATGATTGTTTCCAGTGAGCATCACAAAATAGGTGAGACTGGAGTGAGCGTTGTCCCTGTTTCCGAGTACACATTGTACTTGTTTTCTTGCAGCATTGTTTGCTTCCTCATAGTGCTGAAATCTCGTCTCTGTGTAGTCTGCATGACTTTGCATGTGTGCTGACATCCATGCTTTACATCTGATCTGGGAGTACAATGTTGTGATAGACACTAGCATTCTATTTAAGACTCTGACCAGTGAAAAATACACTGAACCAGGAGATAACCAATCACGGTCTCATACTACAGTCAGCTTGTGAATTAGTTCCTGGTCATGAAGAGTCAAGACTAGAATATTGGTGTGTGTTTTGTCATCATTGTACATCTACCTTATTGCAGCTAGACATCTTGTGTACTGTAACCAGTTAAATCTTTTGTTGCTTGCATGATTGTGGAAACAGAGCAGAAAAGGGACTGGGGAGTGACTGCCTTCATTTGGCATATCTGATCTCAGTGTGTCCTTGCTATTGTTTCATATTAGAAGCTTCAAATCTGGATTATATAACTTTTTTTTTCCCCACTAAAATGTATCAAAACCCCCTGGATAACCCTTTTGTAAGTGCCTTGGGTGCCTAAGGCCATTATTTAATAGATATGTTTGAAACTTACCCACTGCCTATATCCGTCTATCTTAATCCTCACCTCCCACTAGCATCTCTTCCCCTTATTCTGCTTTCCAGCTGGGATTGGAGAACAGATACAAGTGATGCTATTAGAGTAAACCCACTTTTATAGCTGAAGCATGTTATGGCTTCAACTTAAGTACTGTCTCTTGGCTACTTGAAGGATCATAGTCTCCACGAAGACACCCTCCAAATGGGGCTAAAGTTGTGGATTACAAACTAACGCAGAGTGATAAAGATTAATTGGTGTATTTTATTTCTTTTGCATTGGTTGCCCAAATTAATCTCAAGTGAATTCTAACCAAACATTTTGGTGCCAAGACTTTCTTTATTGCATCTCTTGCTCACAGCTGTGAATACCTCCAAATAGCTTATCAGCAGCTCTGCTGATGAGGGTAGGGAGCAAAAGGGACAACTGCCCTCAGTCCTGGAAACTTTTCAAAAAGCGCCCAGGGTACCCAGCAGCAGCCAGAGCCCCAGGTCCTTTAAATAACAACTGGAGCCCTGGGTAGCACAGGCCAGGCAGTGCTAAAGGGCTGGCTGCAGGAGGCTAGCCCCCAGCCCTGTCCCTTCTGCTCATTCCAGGGGCCCAGAGCTGGTCCTTCACCTTACCCAAGGGCCTTGCTGTTCTGTTGGCAGCCCTTTTGGTGGTGTGACCGTGGAAGTGCTGACTCCAGGAGGTTAGACTCCAAGTGCTGCTTTCATACTAGCTGTGTTAGGAGGGATACCTAGATGAGATTGAGATTAGAATAAAACTGGTTTGAGTTGCACCATCCAGTACATGGCTCTAGTATGGAGCCGACTGTAGACACCCATGAGACCTGGCTGCAGAAGTCTTTCATCTGTAAAACCATTGGCTGTACAAAACCAGTTCCATGCGTGTGACTTGAAGCAAGGATACAGGAGTTGGGATTAAATGAATCAGTTGTCCCTCTGTTCAGTATACAACTAGGTGCTTTTAAGGGGAAAGTATCATGCTCCAAGCTAACTACAATGCTAGGCTTTTGGCAGGATAACTTCTTCCTGATGCTAGCTGGTGACAACATTGCAGTGCACAACCCAGGTTCAGAACTCTCAAATGTTGAGAACTTCTGATTTACAACATGTTGAGAAGAGGCACATTAATTGTGAGCTTTCCTTAACTTGGAAGTCCCCTAACAAACTAATGTAGAATCTACTTTCAAATAACTCAGTTTTGATCCTCCTGTCCTAACTGAGTAGACCAGGCAACCTTTTTAAGCTCGCTAATACCCACAAAGATTTCAGGGCAATATTTCTCCATTTCAGTGCCAGAGTGCGAGGGGGCATTGAGACTCCATTCAGCTGGCCACAACTACTGTTTACTGAAACCTGACCCAGACTCCCCTCTGTCGTGGAGAGACAGCTGGGCCAAATCTCAATGAGTGCATTACAAGACCCCTGCATGGGTAGGAGGGCTCATTGTGTGTGTCTCATCCTCCAGTTGAACCATTGATGTAGATAACAATCTGTGCATCTGCACAAACTGACCACCAGCTAGTCCGAAGATAATGTTTCTCTCTACTAGTGTCTTGGGTGAGTGGATTTTTTTTTTTTTAAGAGCAGATGGATACGGAATCATTGGTCATCTAATAAAACTGTCTTGTCTTGGTAAAGTTGATCGTCTTTAATCAATCCTGTTAATTAATCTGTTAATCTTTGAGTGGCTTGTGATGTCATGTAGGTGAGCTCCTGAATAAAAACTGTGGATTAACACACCTTTGCCATTCCTTAGAGGAATGCAAATACAAGTGCAAGTCTACACTCCTAAGCTATTTGGAAAATGCTACTTACACTTCGTATTAGACATTATGAAGAACTGTCAATCTCTCTAAATTGAAACAGTCTAAAATAATTAAACTAATGCTTAGTCAAAAAATTAAAATGACACCCTATATCCCAAGTTACTCGTAACAGGATCAGCAAAATCCGATACAAGGACTCAACGTTGTTCATCTCTTATTGCTCTGTGAACTAGCAACTTCACGTCCATCCACAATCCCACGATTCACTTATCTGCTGCTGGGTTGGCAAACTTCATAAATTTGAACAAAATAGAAACTTTCTGGGAAAATATCTCCATTTCTTTTTCAATCCAGCTCTGTGTGAAATTCTAGCTCCCATTATTTGAGCATCCAATATGCAACACTTTGCTTTCATTAGCCCTTCTTCAAGCTGAGGAAGGAAAACTAATCTGTCTGCTGTAGTCTGTTTGAATCTAGCACATTGGCTGTGGCTCATCAATAAATTGTTTAGTGTTTGATGTATTAGGAGGTTGTGCCCCCTGCTCACTATGCTTGCCTACCCCCCTCTCCCTGAGGGCAGGGTGTCTGGCCAGGGGGAATGGTGCAGGAGCAGGCTGGGGGCCGAGAGTCTGGCCAGTGGGTAGGGGCAGGAGCGCACTGGGGGTGTGACGTCTTGGTGGAAGATGTGAGGGGGCAGGGAGTGCAGGGTCTCAGAGCAGTGAGTGAGGGGGATGGGGCTGTGCTGAGAGCCTGCACTAGTGCTCCAGGCTTGTGGGTTCTCAGCTTGGAGGGGGGGGGGGCTCCTCCACCCCCCCATCACCACCCTGCTGAGACCCCGCATACCCAGTACCCTCTGCTGCAGGGGAGGGAGGGGCTGAGCTGGAGCATGAGAGCTCACGCTGGCACTCCAGCTTTGCCCACCCCATGAGGCTGAAGCACTAGCACCAGCTTCCTATGGTGGGGGGGGAGAAGCCTTGAAGCTCCCCATGCGCTGCCACTTCCCTTACCCCTCCCCCAGCTAGGGGGAACAGCAGCAAGAAAAGCCTCCCTGAAGTGCGTCCCTGCACTGCTGTTTCCCCAGCCAGGGGAGGGGTAAGAAGCAGCAGTGCACAGGTAACCTTGGGGCTCCCCCAACTGTGGTGGTGGCAACCTAAGATGACTCCCTTCTCTTCCCCCCTGGCCCCTTTGGGGGGAGCAATGTAAGGGCCAGAGGAGCTGCCTGAAGGCAACACTGGTGATATGATGTCACTCTATCATCCTGCAGAAAATTTTTTATATATACAGCTGGTCCCCAAGTTGCGACTGGTCGATTTACAACCGTTCACATTTGACCAAAACTCCCATTGAGCGGTCGTAAAGGCGATCTCTGAGCTACGAACATGACCCGCACTTACGAACAGCGCGGTCACAGTGTAACTCAATGTGGTCTGAGTTACAAACATTTCGATTTACGGCCAAGTGTTTGGTCCGTAATTCGTTCATAACTCAAGGAGAAGCTGTATAATCTAGAGAAAAGATAAGCACTGTGGCCAAGATGGCATTGCTTAAGCTCTTAAAGATGAAATCCAAATACAAGTTGAAACTCTCTAGTTCAGTACCTTTGGGACCTGACTGCTGCCGAACCAGAGAATTTGCCAAACCACAGGGGGTCGGTACTGTCCAGTGGCATTACCAACACTTCCAGTGCTTACTAGGCTCTTGAAAGACATTTAGGGATAAATCAGGGGTAAATAGCAGCACAGAACACTGAGTGCCAGGACTGGTGATTGTAAATAGACTTTATTGGACTGCGGGAAACTTGGCCACGCCCATAAGTGGACATCCAGCTAACTAAAATTGTGCTGGACCAGAGAGTGACAGACTAGAGAGGATCAACCGGTATTGCATGTATTAAAGACTCTTTTAAAATGCCCACACACCTTTGTAAGCAGCCTAAAACAATCCTAATGCACTGTTGCCTGCATTAAAAGTTTTATACTCAATCTATTTTGCTACCTCTTAATAAAACCGACTTAACTTGCAAGACTTCATACTGTGAGAGTGGTAAGGCCCCATTGTATTATAAGCGGCAGGAGTGGGAGGGGGAAGCAAGAAGGGTAATTAAGAGATTTGTAAGAAGTCTTGTGTTGCTGCATGGTGTACATGAAAAGAACGTGTGCTGTTTAATGAGGTCATCTCTCTCGTTCAACTTTTTCCTATTGTTTCTGCCCTATGCCACCTTAGTTAATCTTAAAGCATGATGCTGCATGCATGTAAGACAAGCTTTGAATTAATTAAATTGACATGATTGCTTTGAGCAGTTTGCAATCCAGAAACCATCTCCTATGTTATGACTTAAGCTTTCCTTATTGCAGAAATAAATTTAACCTTCAAAATAGTTCTTCTCTAGAAAGAATAAACGCATGGGAATTAGTTAGAAGGTAAATACTGGAATGGGTTACCTAGGGAGGTGGTGGAATCTCCATCCCTACAGGTTTTTAAGTCTCGGCTTGACAAAGCCCTGGCTGGGTTGATTTAGTTGGAATTGGTCCTACCTTGGACAGGGGTCTGGACTTGATAACCTCCTGAGGTCTCTTCCAGCTCTATGGTTCTAAATAACTAAACCCCTAATTATGCACTCTCATGCATTCTCTCTCAATCTTATTTACAGCAAGGGTGCTATACTGTTTATACCCAGTAGTTCATCAGGCTTAACCTGTTTAATTTCTCTTTATAGAGTCTCCAGCAAAATGAAGATCCTAGCTGTTGTGTCATGTAACTAAACCAAGGTAGTGACTACCTACCAACACTCCTTAAACCAAAGTGACCGTTCAGACTGCTTGAATTTTTAGCAGCTTCTGGAATACATGAACTTTGGACTTTTTTTTTTTTTTTTCCCTCAGACCTGCTTGAAAAAATTATCAACAAATAGAAAGTTCCCATTCTGGCAGATATTGAGCCCTGCCTTCAATGAAATTAGAGAAAAGTATTTCCTTTTCAAAGTCTCTTTCCATGACACACAAGTATTGTGATTTTTATTCAGCTGCAACAAACTTGCCATAAAGGACCGTGCATAATTTTTGATAACATACTGCTAGGCATGTCTCATCCTAGCAAAGGATGGTGAACTACTCACAAACTTAATGGCTTCAGTTTTCTGAACTTCTAATTTAAATTTTTTCTCCAAAGTAGACTTAGAAGAAAAGCAGTTTCAAACCAATTTAAAAAATTTAAGTGAACCAAATTCTGCCTTGACTTACACCTTGTGCAGCTCTATTTGAATTGAAATTCAGAGGAAACGGTTTACCCTTGAACATCAAAAACCCCAGTAGTCATTTAGTGTTTGAAGTCTGATACTGAAGTACAAACACTTGGGCTAAGCCAAATGATATAATAATCTACTGGTGTAAAGATTTTTTTTAAAACTGAGCAAGCTATTTGTAAAACATGTATTTTTAACTTTTAGTTAAACCAACCATTGTACTGTTTCTCTAGACTATACCTGTTAACCTAAACTTCTGTATTTATTACTGTACATAGTTGAAGTGTTTGAAACTTTGGGGTGAGTAGCTTTGTATTATAAATGTGAACTAAAGTCTGATGCCAACATAGGTAGTAATGTATTTAACCACAGTATTGCTAAGTTAATTGCTTACATAGCAAAACATTAATGTCAGAACTTAAACCGTTTGGTATAGATAGAGATCACATACTCCAATGATTGCCATGTCTTGATATCTTTTAAGAAAGTTCCGATGTTTAATAAACATGTGAAATAAGGATGTGCAGTTTACACTGTCACTACTTCTACATTCATAATTGAGGTGAGAACAACTTCTGTTTTGTAAAATAGCTAGATATGTTTCTGATTAGCACTGAATTCACCTTGTAACTATGCTGTATATCTACTTGAAATGTTTAGAACATATAGCACTTAGTCATAGGTAGCCATTACAGTAAGCCACTACCTTTATTCTTGTTAGTAATTTTTTTTTTAACCTAGTAGTTATCCTGAAAAGTGGGAGATGGCCTACCAAGAGTCCCTAGTTCAGCAACATAAGTGTTTCCTTGCTAAAATGTTAAGTGATAATGCAGCTCTCAGAACACTGGAACAGTTTTCAGCATTCTTCGTCTTGCCAAAAGTTTCAATTGTATAGTATGACTGAATTAAGATCTGGCCCATGTTGGGACCATACTTTTTCATGCAAAGCTCTTTTTGAAATGCTTTTGAGTTCCTATCAATTAGAATAATTATAGGATTTTAAGACACTGGACACCTAGATGGTGGGTGAATTTGGCCTTCCATATTTTAGTAGACCCAAATCCATACTTTTTTTTAGAGGGAGGGGGGCACTGTCACTTTAAAAGAATTAAATTAAATTTAACTATTCATGATCTTGCTGTGTGTCTTGGGTGGTTCAACTGATTTTCTTAATATTAAAGATTATCCCTATACATTATCATTCTCGGGTTTTAATGTTTAAATTTATAACTGTATAGTGAAGTGAGCATTACAAAATTTGTATTGCTTGAGTTCTAAATGTAGCTAAAACACCCAAAAAAAAAAAAACAACCTTGTCTCCTTTATTTTAAGCAAATAGACGCCTACAATAGACTAATCTGCCTTAGAAACTATTGCATGCAACTCACATTTTTACATGTTCTGGATAAAGCTGAAATTGCAATGAATCTAGTATACCAAGAAAAGGTGGGGTTTTGTATGTCAAATAGTAACAACTGTTACTATTATACTAGACTACAGGCATTTGGGGATTAAATGCTGGAAATGACTACAATTCAAACTATTGCAACTTCTCTACTTTATTAGCATCTTGTACATTTTTTCATTTTCAAATCCACCTTCTCAAAAGATGTAAACAGCACCATTAAAAACTAAACTACCCTAATTTTTCACTGTAAGATAATAGTCTACTCCTTTAAAAATAAATATTCCAGTCCCATTGTAGTTAATCCTAATTTTGGTAATCCCTGAGCACAGAAGGCATGAAGGGGAATAAAATGCTTTTCGTGTGTAACTAGATAAACTGGCACTTAGTTAATATTTTGGTTTATTTTAATCGCTGTGGGGAGAGACCATAGCCTTTAAGACAAGGGCTCATATTTAACATAAATAAATGAGAACTTTGCCCTCTTATGTCTAGAAGAAATTCTGAAAGCAGGATCAAGTCTCCTGTCTTCCTATTTTTAAAACAGAGCTAGGGAGACAAACTATCTCTTGTTCAGACACTTTTGGCCCTTTTTCTAACATTCCCTCTCCCTTGTCTTTCCACCTAGAGAGAGGACTTTGCCTCCATGCTCTGCTTGAAAATGTATACCCTTCCTGAGCCCCTTAGGACAACCCCCCTCCTTCCAGCATGGCTATGTCTCACAGGAGGAGTAGTGGGCTGCTGAATCTTACCTGTACCTTGCTGGGACCTACAGTTAAACTTTATTCTCAGTGCTTTGTACCTCCATTGGAGGGCTGCATGAATAAATTAAAATGCAATGTCTAGGCCAGGAAATTTAAGCCTTTAATGTAAGAGGGAAAAGCCACAGAACAGCTAAATGAACTGGTTAAACCTTGCACATGATGCTCACATCCACTTTAAAAGAAATACTTGAAAAATATTGGTTCAGAATTAAAAAAAAAAATTCCAAAATAAAACCCTCAGATCTATCCAGTAGCCAACTCCCTTCCTCTACTAGGGTGGAATGCACAGATGGGGGCTGCTGTAGCTGTCAATCTGGTCTCACTGCCATAGAACCTGATTCGAGTTCCACAGGCAGGTTTAACCAGGCAGATGCAGCTTGTCTGTGGGAGCTGTACAATTTCTGATGTTTGGTAAACCAGACTAGCTTAATGCAACATAGCAGCTCTGTGTTAGGCAACCATAGAGATATCTCATCCCTGCTGTTGCTTAGTGGGGTTTCTCAAGCATAACTCCCAGGAAGTATAAAATCAGCTCTCATCTGCCCTTAGTGGGTCTTCTGCCACTCACTGCTTTCACAAGGAATTGTAGCAATCCTGCTCTCTGCCTTAGGTCTGGGGCTAACTGTTGGTAAACAGACAGTAAAGTTAACCTATTCTGAAAGTACTGGGTCCTGTACTGATAGTTCTCCAGGTATACAATAAGGGCAAAAATAACTTGTTCTGAGTATAGGCAAAGTAATAAATCCTAAACATATGTTTAATAATGGCTCCATGGGCGCTCTTCTCAGGAAGCTGTACCTACTCGCTTTTGGTAGAGCTCCTTGCTTGTGTGTATTTACCACCACCTGTGTTAGGAGGGAAGCTAAGAAGAACATTCTAATCTTAGGCACTGAATATAAACACCTTTAACTAGCTTCCAGTTTAAGCTCCCTGTTTCCCAGTGAAATACCTCTGGAAAGCATCCATCAACTGTAGCGATAGGGATGTTCACTGTGTTGTGGCTGTTGGCTGGCTGAAGTGGGCATAAAGGTCAAGCAAGTATCACTTTGACTTTGGAGGGAGTGATATTTTGCTGTCAATTTTGAAAGCTGCTTTTTGCTAGAACAAATCATTGGGGGTGCATCCTGCGTTTTTTCTATACAATTCTCAGCATCTGAAGCATGCTGGTGCTGTTCTGTTGCTGCTCAAGTTTCTGTTGCTTGTTGACCACAGCAGAAGACCAGTGTTCCCTAGAAGTTGTGTGCTTGGGTGGCCATCCAGGAGAGATTCAAATTCAGCCCAGCTGCTTAGCAGAGCACCCACAGTTGCCAGCCTGCATTTGTATTGGTGATGCACAAGACAATTTATTCCACACATGGATGGAAAATAGAAGCTGAGCCAGGGGGAGGGGGAAAGAGGGGAAAAAAGGTCTGTGGCAAAACAGACAGGGCCTGAGTGCCTAGACCTCTGCTTAATCATGAAGCAAATGCTAAATTTAGATGAGTGGGTTTATTCATTATTTTAAATAGTTTCTCTCTTCCAAACCTAGTTAGGGCTGCAGAGTTAATATAGTTGGTAAGGGAGTACTGTGAGCAGGTGATTTAGTCAGAGTAGAAGTAGAACACAGGATGCCATAGTGGAAGAAGTGAAGGTGTAGGCCTTTGGCTGGAAAGGATGCCCCAGACAGAGACTGGCTAAGAGAGCCAAGGTACAAATTCATCCCTGAATTGTACTACCTACTTTCAATCAATCACAGTCTCTGCTGTCTTAGCCAGAAGCCATTTTGGCTAAAATTCATCAGTTCTCCCCAGCCGATTTTTGGCTGTTGCTACTCGGAGCTTCCCTTTCGGCCTCAGCAGTTCATCAAACAAGCTATTGCCGAATTAGGCCAAGTCTCTGCCCTGCATTGCTTTGTGCTTCCCGGGTTACAAAAGGCTTACAGCT